TAGTAGCTGAGGATGTTTGCTGCTGCATCACCAATAATAATAATAATAATAATAATAATAATAATAATAATAATAATAATAATAATAATAATAATAATAATAATAATAATAATAATAAGCATGAGTAGCCCATCAAGGTTCTGCTGATGGCAAATCTAGCTTGGACAAACCAGACAGCTTTCAAGCCGAGCCGAAATTGTAGGTTAGACAAACATGCATGAATTTACCGACGTGAAGAATGTTGATTGATTGATTGATATGTGGGGTTTAACGTCCCAAAACCACTATATGATTATGAGAGACACCGTAGTGGAGGGCTCCGGAAATTTAGACCACCTGGGGTTCTTTAACGTGCACCCAAATCTGAGCACACGGGCCTACACCATTTCCGCGTCCATCGGAAACGCAGCCACCGCAGCCGGGATTCGAACTTGCGCCCTGCGAGTGAGCAGCCGAGTACCTTAGCCACTAGACCACCGCGGCGGGGCGACGTGAGGAATGTTGTGGTTCAAAAGTCAGATATACCGTGCAATACATAGAAGCAACACACATCAAAGTAGTGCATGTACCAATGTGGAAGCTAAGCAATGCTCTAGCCAATGTGAAGGACAAGTTGCCGAGCAGAGATTTCCTTGGTCTTGTTTATGCCATAGGCTGCCACAATTGTGACGAGTACATCGGTGACACTGGTGATTTCAAGAAAAGAGTTAAACAGCACAAGTATGACCCCACGAAACAACGCGTGGCCTCGACTGTCCTCGCTGAATGTGCGGAATCCGCCGACCACCAAATCAAATATACTGGTCAAACGCGCGTGTTCTGGACAAAGAAAAAACCCGCATCTTCCCACGGGGGGGGGGGCAACGGACTCTAGTAAATGCGTCACAGAGTAGTGGGGGTATCGCGTGAATGTGTATGGTTCGGGAATGCTTAATTTCCATTTTCTTTATTCGTATTTATTAAATAAAGGAGAAGCATTGCCTTCCTTCAACGAGTGGATAGGACACTCATGTTGGGTCGTGCTTCACTATGGTTGAGGGTACTATTGCTTCCATCGCATCTACTCGAGTCAAGCAAAGTGTAAAGTCAAGCGAAAGCCAAGTAAAGACGCCCTTGACCGCATTCCAAACGCCCGATTCAGTGCCTACATATACATGGTGAGTGAACAGTTGTGCAGTGCGAGCATTTGGTTTTTACTAGTGGACGCTGCCTGCGTCAGCCTTGCCAGGTGAGAGAGGGGGAGAGGGACAGCTGGCACGAGGCACGAGCATGCAGCACGAGACGCAAGACGCAAGCATGCACAGTAGAGTGTAGGCACTACCACCAATGCCGGATTTGCGAGTAGGTGTGACTATAAAATGCTTCGCTTTTAAAAGAAGCTTGCATCATGCCTGCACCTGGAATCCAGATACAGACAACTCTACATACAGTGAACAGAAGTGATGGGGCACTTCTGACAATGTACTCTCACAGCTTACGTCACATACTAAGGCATACTTAAGTATGCTGTGCCTTTATTATGGCTTTTACTGTGAACAAGGCTCCCTCCCATATCGGGTGCTGAAACATAAGTAAACATTGTACTACATGGCTCGATGTATCATATCCAATTTACACTAAAAGCAACAGTTAATCACTATCTTTTTTTTTTTTCACACCTTTTCTAGCCGCTGACTGTAGCTGCAGTTGGAAGATCATTTTTCTATGCTTTGATCAATGATAATGTTTATTTTTGTGATGGCTGCACAAAAAAGCTATCAGTTTCCATGACCTGGCCAGGTTTTTCAGAAATTCCCTGACTTTTCCATGACTTTTCCAGAAGGGTCTAAATTCCCTATCTTTTCCAGGTTTTCCAGGTTGGTAGTAGACACCCTGGTATCTATGGTGTCCTAACTAAGTTTGAAAAGCAATCAATCAGGTGCTGACCCACAATGCTGTTCAGAATACTTTAACGAAAATAACCACCAACAGGAGCAATCTACAAGGTGAATTTTTAGCCAAGCATTTCACTGAGCACTTTGCTAATGCGGTACGACCACTGGGAAGCACTGCTAATACTCAGATTCCACACCACAATGCTGACACAATGTTTCTTGCACTCATATATCAAGCAGAAATAGTGTGCACATTCTTATCTTAAAGAATAGCAGTGATGTCGATGCCGACAGATTTCAGGTTGAAGCGATTAAGCATGTGATTGACTTTCTTGCTCCTTGCCTAGCTTAAGTGTTCAATCTAGTTCTTCGATCTGGCTGCTTCCCACATGTCATGAAAATATCAAAAGTCTTTGTCATATATAAAAATGGAGATTTTAATGATGCTAGTAATTACTGACACATTTAAAAAATACCACCATTTTCAAAGAGATCAGAGAAAATAATTTTTTGCCCTGTGAGTAGTTTTCTTAACAAACACAAGGTACTTTCAGAAAATCAGCATGGTATGCAGCCATGCTGCATACTGCCCCGCTGCATGGTATGCAGCAGGGCAGATCTACACAGATTGCATTGTTAACTCAAAAGGAATTAAAAATTAAAAACATCAAAGCTTATGCTTCGATGTTAAAGGTATTGGAGGACTTGCTTATAGCAAGGCCTTCGATACCCTTAATCATCACATTTTACACGAGAAGTACACTTATAGGGTACGCAGTGTAGCTAATTCCCTATTTTGTTCATATTTATTTGAGAGAGAGCAGTGTGTTTCGATCATTAACTGTTTCTCTTTTTACGAAACTATTTCTTGTGGCGTGCATAACCATCTTAGAGCCAATGCTCTTCAATATCTACGTAAATCATGTTGTCAACATAAACAACAATACCACACTTCTACTATGCAGATGTCACCACTCTTTTTGTTTAAGGTAAAAATTCATCTGAAATTATTGACAGAGCCCACAGCGTACTATCAGATGTTATGCGGTGGTCTACTACTAATGGCCTGCGAAGCAATGCAAGAAAAAACAACAAAAGCTCCCTTTTTCAGATCTAGAGGCACGAAAATTAATCTTCACTAATCAATAATGTTTGACGACATACCTGTGAAAATAGTGGAAAAGCAAGGTTCTAGGCGTGACTTCTTTCGATCACATGACATGGTCAGGTCATGTTGAATCATTGGCTAAATCATTATCGCATGCTGCTAATGTTCCGTCAAAATGTCGGTGTTTTCTTAAAAAAAAAAAAAAAAAAAAAAAAAAAAACAAACAAACTAAGGCACAGATCTACCACGCTTCGTTTCCCTCGCACATGAATTACAGCCAACTTGTTTGGGGCACCGCAATCTTGGGCAACGTAAAAACAATTCACGCATTGCAAAAAAAGAGCACTGTGCTATGTGTTGTAAATGTCCCAAGCAGCACTTCTGCAGAATCTCTGTTTCACTGCCATAAAATAATGAATATGAAACATATGTACAACGATCGACTAATTTAGAACTACTTCTTCGCAAAAGAACAATTCCAAACATTTATTAAATATTTTTCAAACATAAGTACACAACACACAGATTCACGAGCCCGAAGTACTGACAGATTGCTCGTTCCTCGTTCTCACACAAACTAAAGTGGACTCTCAGTACTAATGGAAATCTGTTATACGGAACCGCTGCTTGAATGGAACAACTGCCCTTGATATGATTGTTTTCAAACTTGAATGCTGCAACCCAGCTCACCTCTCAGTAAACGGAAATCCTGTTAAATGGAACACATTTTCCCGGTCTCTTCAGGTTCCGTTTAATGAGAGTCTACTGTATTTCCTAAAGTCCCTTAGATATACATTAGCCTCCCTACTAAATAGATAATCAAATATTTATCCCAACTTTTTTATGTTTACAAAAAGAGAAATACGATAGGTTTTTTCACCCTTGTCTAGTGTTTTTTTATGATGTATAATATGCCACAAACTACTTTTTGCATCGGAGTTCTACATCTTTATTTTGTTATTGTTAATTGTATTCATGAGTACAGATACATAGTTATTTAGTTTGCTCTGAGTCTGTTCTACTGTTTTATTTGTAAATATTCTTCTCCCTCTTTTTTTGTTCATTTTTTTCTGCTCCCACTGTACTATTATTTGTTAAGAGCTTGAATTACAAAACTGCTTCCAAGTATGTGAGCCCCCAGGCATTCTCAAGTGGTTTTATAACCACGTGTCGCTTGAGAAACCCCCAACTCGTTGGGAAATAAATAAAAAAGACATGTCACAAAATAAAGACTGATTGACGGATTTACTGGGTCTTGTTCAATTACTTAGATACATGTGCAAGAAAACAGAACATGTGACTGCCATAAATAAAAATGCTGGAATTCATTTGTCACCTTCCTTTCATTAGCTAGCAGTGCTCTTGCTTTGGTGGCATACAATAGTATTCAATGTTTCAGATTCATCAGATGGACTGAGCAGAGAGGATGTGGTTCAGTTTTGCTAACATGTTAGCATCAGTGTCACACCATTCTGGCCAATATTTGAGGTTTTGATAAGCTATGGCACCAGAGTAGGTACGATGACTTTGGAATACTTATTTAAATTACTACAGCTGTGTTTTTTTTCTTTTTGGTGAGGGAGGGGGGCACAGAGAAAAGCTCTAAAGGCAACATGTGACTGCTGTGAAGAGGAGTTCACCGGTTTGAACAACTTATGGCCACTAAATGAAAATTCATTTCTTCTTAATATTCTTGAATTTCTTTTTTCATAATGGTGTATGATGCGAAAATTCTTGTAGCACTTTCTGAGTAAAAAAAATGAGAGAGAGAAAGAGAGAATCCTCGGCAACCATACAATGCACTAAAGGTTGAATTTTAATTTAACAAATTTGCAATATAACACGGTGTATTGCCAATTATATAGAGTATTTGAACTATAAGCTCAAATATCCCATGATGCTCTTTCTTTCTTTTTGAATATGCATCATTATGACTTTCTTCTAAACATTGAAAATACTTGCAACAATGTTCACCACCAGTTGTGTCCTGTAAAAGCATACTTTCAACGTACACTTACCTGAGAATCTAGCTCCTGTGTCTTTGTTTCTTCTGCATTTATAGCGCCAAACTAAAAAATAAAAATAAACACTCTGGTGAACAGTAAAGAGACCCTTCACAAGAATAATAAACGACTGGGCAAGAAAAATACAGCTTCACTTAAAAGAGCACATGAGACTGCAAGAATCTATTGGTGGGCTAGTCGGTACATGTTTTGATAAATACTAAGTATGTGCAATACCACAAACGCCACATAAACGACCAGTGCCAGTCTATCTCGTTTATGTCTTCCCTTGTCTTTGCCTCTTTGTGCTTCACATACATACATAGTATTTATGAGACAACTAGGGATGGGTTCAAGCATGTTGAATATTCAAATGAATATTACAACACTCAAATCTAAGTACACAAACCAGCTTTTTGGGTGGCACTCACATCATACAAGTATATGCCTTAACACAAAGTCCAGAAGAACTGCTACAGCAAAGTTTGCCTCGGTCTGTCACACAGTGCAAGAGTGCATAAAACGTGATTCTAAGGTCCGATCAAGCACAAATCAATTAGTGGCAGAAGCAAATTGAATTTAATTAAACATTGGATACTTTTTTTTATTTTTATATCTTTAGCAGCTATTTTTAAGAAGAATATATGACATTCATATCCTAGGATTCGTAGTTTTTGCTTTAAAGAACAAGCAGACCATCAGAAATAAATAAGCAAATAATATGCATGCACAGAACTTTTCTGAGTCTAGAACATGCGTTACTCCACTATGCACTAAATAGCACCTGACCACTCACAGCCCCCTCACTACATCCCATCTTGTCTACATACCGGGGAACTTAATTATGTGCAATGCTTTTCACATTTATTTTCTTATATCACAGAAACATAGTGCCATTCAGCTTTCTCATCAGTGATAGGCCAGTAAGGATTCAACTTGGCTTCATTGGGTAACAACGCGTAAATCGAGGGTAAATCGAGGGTTTTGAGAGATGAAAATAAAAAGAATTATCCTTCAACAATAAACCCAGGAAATTTGCCACAGTAATGTCAGCACCCAAATGCAACATGATGATTAATTTGATGTCCCATATCCAGGAAATAATGTTATATTATACATGAAGTATTACAGCACATAACTAAAAAGTTTCTCATAGAATGAAAGATAAATGACATAAGAAACAAACCTCAATGTGAGGCCTAAAGCTTGACCAGTGCACTGTCATTTTAAGAGCCTTGGTTACTTTCCAGACCTGTAGTAACAAATGACAGCAAAAGAAAGATTGCTTTCAAGATGAGTACATAAGTGGAAGTGCTGTGAAAACACATGTACCTAATGGAAGCACAATAAATACTTATACTGCAGTACCAGCAATACAAAAAATATTATTTATGCATATTGAAACCATGCCATATTAATGCATGCCATCCAAGCTCAGTCCATTGACACTGCCAGCTGACGGACACTTATTAAAAAAAAAGAGTTGAGTAATATTACTAGCTACTACACTAAAAAATAGAGGCTTCCTTTCTCTCGCACAATATAAACTGCATGCAAGAAACAAAGCGAACATAATTTGAGGATTAGATTGTGACTACAGACAAGGTATACTACTGTAGAAGTAAGTTTTCTGTGCTGATGCAGTCACAATAACCTATTAATCTCTGATCTGACACTTTATTGAGTATTTAGAAAGTGTGAATGCTCAGAACATTTGAACACCTTTTGTGTCGTAGACAAGTTGCAATCGCTTGCACGTTTCTGGCAGAAATGGCCAAAAACGAGTTATGCTTGTCGACAGTACTTCTCGTTTTCTCACAATGCCATGAGCAGGCAGACTTCGTTTTACAGTGAAAGCTGTTATGAGATCACTTTTAGGGTCACGCGCAGTTGTTGTTGTCCGCCGCCGCCAGTGTCCGTAACCACATCGCGCAAAAATAGAAAAAAAAAAAAACCTTGCACTAATGACACAGTGGGGCTTGAACCCGGGTCCACTGGATGCCAGCCCAATATTCTACCACTGAGTTACGCCGGTGCTTGTAACTTGTTGTTAAACTTGCCTTAGGCAGGCATGACCTAGCACATATGGCACTGTGGGGATCGAACCTGGGTCCACTGGGTGTGCCAGCCCAGTATTCTACCACTGAGCTATACCGGTGCTTGTGACTTGTTGTCAAACTTGCCTTAAACAGGCTTAACTCGGGAAAGCAATCGTGTTAATACGACTTATAAAGCATTTTACAAGAGCAAAAAACAACCAGTCATCACAAAATGCAAATAGCGCAACGAGCGGCCCGTCCAATGATCCAAACCATCAGAAAAGCTTGTTCTTGTTCCCTTATTAACTGTGGCGCATACCCACTTCAGACATGATTTCTCGTCGTCAGCCACTGCATGGAAAATTTTCATAAAATTCCTTGCAAGTGTTTAGCGGATACCATGCTTCTCAGAAGAATGATGAAAAATATCATAGCGAATGCGGGCCTACTACTCAATAGTTTATTATTAATGACCTAGTGGGTACCAAGCAAGTGTGCTTGCAGTAGTTACCCACTGAGTGTTTTGAAAAGGCTCTGAAAGAACGGTCTTCTAGCTTTCGCTGTGACAGTGCTGTGCCTACCGCGCAGGCCTGGCATTTTTTTTTTTTTTTTTGTGCTCTGCTGTGCTTCTTGTATAAGACAAGGCCCATCTTATTGTGCAGCGAAAACAGGAAGCAGCAGAACTGACAAATGTTGGCAAGAATGGTTCAAACAAATTTGGCTATATTTTGGTCAACATTTGGGGTTACAGCATGGTACGGTAGGTGTTAAAGCAGATTGAATAGTTCCTGCCGTTTACTTCATACTCAATAGTATTTCAATTCTATGAGAAATAATATTTACAGCAGTGGTTCAAACAAATTTGGCCATGTTTTGGTCAGTACTTGGGATCACAATTTAACATGGTAGGTGTTAATGCAAATTGAACCATCTCTGATATTAACCTCATATTCAGTGGTACTTAAACATTGTAAAGAATAATACTTGTAACAGTACTAGAGGAAGGCAATAGACAAATAAAAGTTTGAATTATTTAAAATATTCTGATGGCTGGTGAGCAGAAAAAGCATCCCGTTTCTCAGTCAATGCATAAGACAGAATATTTCAACAAAATAATGTCTAGTCATTCAATGAAACTTGTGATTTAAAAGTAGTCAGAATGTAACTGTTGTACAGACTAAAGAAAATGAACTTATTATTTGGCTACAATACTAGTTGTGCTTTCAACCATTTATAAAACAAATGAAATGTCCTGCTATTGCACTTCTTCCCTTCAGTGGATACAACATGCATGTGCACCTATAATGTATACTGGTCACTGTTATTGCAAGAAAAATTTTCAAGGGCACTAAAGGCAAACATTCGCTGTCAGCATCAGCATGATGTTCTGAATATACATATTTATCCACAGATGTAAGTAAGATTAAGTAAAAAATAATAATGTCTTATGGCTGGAATTCGACTCAGTACACAAAGATCAGTTGCACTATTGACAATAACACAGAAAGCTAACAACTTGAGCTCACACCAGTAAATCATTCACAGCTGCCTAAGCAGGTGCAACAGGTCAAGCACACTGATTTCCAGCATGAAACCTAGCGCGGTGCGATTCTTAGCACGTTTTCACAATTCTTAGTTTCCCATGAATCTCATTCTGTGCACCATCAATGTGTAACGTCTACATCGCCGCTGGCATCACTTGTTATACAAGCGTGAGATATTTTGCCATTGCCACAAGACTGTTTTTTCTCTGCAGCAGATATTCTCTTACATACTGTATTATGTATATCGAGTGGTTGCAGATAAATTTAGCTGCAACCACTCGACACGCAAGATCACGAGCTCGCCCAGATGCAAACCATTTCAATGCATTATGTAGACATGGCGCACCCATCCCATGAACAGTTTAAACACAATGCAAAGGGTCAATGAGTAATGCTAAACCTTGCCTTTGCCATCAAGGTGTTGCCCTTCATCAAAATTGCCAATTTCTTTTCTTTCTTACTGTCATATTTATGGAAAACCAGATAAGTAAAAGAAGCTATGACTCACAATTTTCTGATTTTACTAGAATCTAGCTGCAAAGTTATGAATGTCCTTAGTACATACATTTATCAAATATAGCAAACATCTATTTTTCACAGAACAAGCCACATGCAAACTCCCTCTTCATCTGTTCCTAAGGATGACAAAATATTTGTTATATTATTGATATTATATTCAAAGATCACCCCTCACATTCATATTTGCCTAGGCTTAAATGTTTTCTATTGATTTAGCTAAATGCAAGCTTGAGAAAGCCTAAAAAACATCAAGACAATTGGAAGTAAGCCTATTAGAAATAAACCCTTGATGATTTTTAAAACGTTATTGCACAAGCATTGCCCCCAGAACATGGCAAAGCCTAATATGGGCAAGAAGTAACAAACTCTACTATGCAATGCACAGGTGCACAAACATACTCAAGTGTGAGCGCTGTCTGGTTTGCTGCTTATTTACATATGCCTACACACAGTCAGCATTATCTCGACAAACAACTCTTCAGAACATAGATGTGAAGCTGACTGTTGTATCACTGATCTCATTGCTTCTCACCAATATTACACGCTACCATTTACTGAGGTCAACACTCATGCAATATTACTAAAAATGGCAAAAGTGTACGTAGCTACTATCTACACCCTATACAGCAAAAAAGAGCCGGCTACCCATTAAACACCTACACACCATGACCGTCACATTTAACTTCAACATAAACTTAGGTTTCAAAATATAATGTGGTACTAACCTCAATGACTGCTCCAACAGCACTCGTGACAAGCACGATGCGGCTGGTGTCTTCATCAAGAAGGTAGAAAAAGATGATAACTTGACTAAAACCTCGCCATAAGACAGCCTTCACAGAAAGACCTTCAAAGGTCTTACGACCCCGCCAAAAATTGACGTCATTCTTGAAAGCCAAAAAATCAAACAGTAGCTGCAACAAAAATAAAATAACAGTGTTACAGTGACAAGAATGAGAAATGAACTGCAAAGTAAAGCATAATTTAATAAGATCAGCCAGCTGCATATGCTTCAATGAGGTTAACACCTAAAGGGGTACTGATGCAAGTAAAAAATGACAATGAAAAGTAGGTACAATACTAGGCGCTGTGCCCCTACATTCAATCCTAGCCTGGTACTGGACATTAGGGCAATAACAAACACAAAGTCTTATACAGCCTACTTCCACTGAGTATCTCTTTGGCCATATCTGGACCTTGTACCAATAAACATCAATTCATCATCATAAATATGAATTAATTTTATGGTGCAGTGGCTGATAAAATCAATCAAATCATTTGGTGCATTGATTAGGAGAGGGCTAATAAATGTTGAAACTTGCCCTTGCATTATTTGGCAAAGTAATCCTGAATTGCTGTTAGTAGTTCTTATTTTCATAATAGACGTTCTTGAGAATTCATGATTTACATACTCAAGTCCGTGAAGTTAAAGGGGTACCGACACAAAATTTCGCGGCTGAGTTAGCCTGTGGGATCAATTCCTGTGAATATGTGTACATTGTATATGCAAAATATCAACAGCAAATATAGCTTGGAAGGTATTTTAAATGAATTTTCAACTTTGCATGAGCGATCAACTCCTTTGCACTATTGACACCCTTAAAGATGACCCTTGGTGACCCCACGACTTCCCTCACGTGACAACGCTGCAACAAGTTATGATGATGTCATAGCTACCATTTTCTTCTCTTTTCTTCTTTTTTTTTTGCTGCATTTTCAATAGCAGCAGACTTTTACTCAGCAGCTACTCAAAAGTCCATGGCCATGGTGTGCGCATTGAAATATTTGTGTTTGGCGACACTGTTGTCCCATTTCTTGTTTGAAAGGACTTCTTGATGTGAACTGCACAAAAATTAGTCACAACTTGTGTGCTGACGAGGTTGAAAGTTGCACAGGCTAGGTGGGTATAGTTGCAGTCTGCGGTTTGTCGTTTTTGGAGCTCTCTCAAACTGAAGCCGAGACTGGTTGGTAATGAGGAGCCTGTAATTAATTATTTATTGCATGCTGCAGCAAACAATGTGCTGTCTTATGACTAACGGGCCTCCAGCAAACACACGGCAGCAAAAAAAAAACACAAGGCCAAAATTTTTGTGTCGGTACCCCTGTAAGTGCACCTTTGGTACCATCCTCGCACATAAAGAACAATCGTGAAACTCCTAGTTTCACCTACTGCTACGCTCAGACACAGGATAGCATTATCCGTGCTGCTCTTGCAATGGTGATTGAAGCAGCTATCATCTTTGTCACTACTCTCGATCATACCACTCATCATGCAGCGTAAAATGTCACTAATTATCAGAGGAGGACACACTGCCCTCTATGGTCAGCATTTCCAAAGTACCCAAAGGAAACACTGCCAAGAGCTGGGTGAAAGTTGGTTTCCTCAGGGGCAGACTTAGTTTTCAGCATATTTCATGCAGTCACTAGCTTAACCAACTCCTAGCAATTGTGCACCGCACTAAGCACAGGAACTTTACCTTCTTTGTTGGTTTTGACGGACATGATCATATTCTGAAGAATTCCTTTCCTGTACAAGACAAAGTTTCTTATTACACTTTGGTTCAGGGGCTGCATGAGTGTCATTATGTTGATCAGCAAGAACTTCTGGAATATCCGAGTCAACCATTCTAAATTGACATGTGCATTGTAGTTACTAACCGAAAAAACTACAAGGTGATTTTTTTTGTGAGCAAGTTTTCTACTTTTATGAAATAAATTTGTGTCTTAATCTGTTCACAGAGAAGGTCACTCACAACCAAAGCTTCTGAGTTTGCAGTATGATTTTGAAGCCTTCACTAAGAACAAGCAAGTAACATTCTCTGTGTCATTTGTGTTAACAGCAAACCTATTCACTTTTTGCTTCTTTTTTCTGGTGGTGCATATGTCATTTTTAAAGACGTCTTGCAACATTTTTGAACCTGTAGTTAAAAACCGTTGCTAATCTGCTGCCAAGGCTCCATGTCTTCATCTGCGTCTTCAGCGCTAAATATCTCGCAAATTACTTGACATGAGCCTTTAAACAGACTTATGAGTAGTCATCTGAACAGATGAACCATTAGCGCTGCATGACAGAATACATCGAAAGGTGTTTACTTCTAGTTTAGGCTTACTCTCATGCCTTTTGACAACAAATTGTCTTGAGGACTGAGCCCGGCTGTGAATATCTGGGATTCCTTGACATGAGAGGAAGGGTGAAAGGTGAATTTCACTGATCCAATACAGCACTGCTTTGTTGACGAAGAGATATGCAGAACCTTGCATGCACTTTCTACCTCCTGGTAGGCTTCAGGAAACTCCTTTGTTGAATACAAATGTCATCATACTAGTGTATATAGCTGGGTCAGTTGGTATGAATCCAGGGCAGTAAGCAACGCGAAAAAACAAAACAGAGACACGAGAAAGAAATGACTGGAACAAGAAAAAGAAAGAAAACAAAACAAAAAACACAGCACTTCAGTGATTATTCTTGTCAATTGTTCCTAGCGTCTCTGTCTTGTTCTTTCACGCTGCTTGCAACCATGGACAAATATTGTGATGGTGGTCTTCTTTTATATAATACTTTTTTGCTGATCAGCTCCCTCATGAGCACACCCTGAGGAACACCTTCAGGTACAACCCCTTTCATGTTCAGCTACCACTGTGTAGCTTCTAATACCGGTGTCACACACGTACTTTTAATCGCGATCAGAGCGATCCGTATCAGTTTTCTTGATCGCGATCAACTTTATGAAGCTGCTACATGGCTCAAGCTAATCCGGTTTGAGCTTGGGTCAGATGAAATGCCTCAGGTGGCGTTTGCGTGCCGTAAAACATGCCACTCACAAAACTCGGGGTATGGTATATCTATAGAGCCCTTTATCAGCAATGTTATTCGTGCAAGAACCGCTCGAAAGTCAAAAAGTTTGCATGCCACAACAATAGTAATATCATAAATCCATCATTTAATAAAATTTTCCTAGCACTTACCTGTAATGCTGTGTGAGATTCTTAACCTTCGATTTTATTTGTGATGGCCCCCGCTCTTAGCGTGTAGTCGCAGCGAAGCATTTATCTTGTTGTACGCGTCAGTGTTTCACTTCTGGCGCCTCAAGTCTGTTCCAGTTGTTCCTGCCAATGGTCAACTGCAGTAAAGATCTCTTCATTCGACCACGAAGTGTGTGTATGTTGCAAAGTAGTCGAAAGGCTTGCAACACTCACAATCAGTTTGCTTTGAGGGGCTCCAAAGCTCCAATGGGGTGAGAGTTGAACTAAGCGCTGAAGGCAACGGTTGACTGCTTCTCGTCTGCTTCTCCCTTAACTACATACGGTCGATGCGAATCCTAAAATACGCAATACTTCAGATATTGTCCAATTTAAACAGTCTAAAACTTGTTCTTTCATAAACATCTAGCTCTTTTAAAGCATTTTTATTGAACTATGCTTGATTTTCTTGTTTATTGTGCTTTCAACAAGCTCGGCTAGGGGGTGCAGACGACAGCAAAATCGTGATTTCTCAGGCAGATTGCGATGCGTAAATCGCGATAGTCTTGATCTCGATCACGCCTGATTGTCATTAAAAGTGACTGTGTAGCAGCACCTAATCTGGATCAACACTGATCGCGATTAAAACTGCCAGTGTGACACCGGTATAAGGCAAAGATGCTGCACACAGCAAGCTGTGTGCAGTATTTGTGTTTTTAATTCTCCATCCAAGGGCATCTATAGACGGGACATCAAAGCTGCCAAGAGCGCGAGGACATCATTGCTAGGACAGGCTTTTGCATTTACAATGCTGTAAAAAGCAGCCATCACATCAGCAGCTGAGCAAGAATGCCATATCGACAATGTTACCAAACCAATATTCAAGCGATGGCTCGTTTTTTTTTATTGACACAACTTTAATGAAAATCAGCATACCAATATCTGCACTTTATGTTTACTTGTGCGGCTTACAAAGTGACACATGCTTTCAAAGTAAGGACGCACAGGTTTCGTACTTTGCCAGCTGCTTCTATCAAATTTAGACTGACGCTAGACCCATTGAACAGTGATTTGGCCCCTTGCAATACCTCTTTCAAAGGGATCTTTGTGGCACTGAGGTTGGTAGAAGGCACAATTACTGGCCAGTGAAGTTTAAATTACTAATCGGAAAAGTTTAATTTCAGGATAGAAACAATGAAAATCTTTGCGAATATAGATGCACGAATGGCAGCTGGGACATTCCATTGCAGTAAAATCAAGTGACATAATCAATTATCCAGAACTGAATTAATAAAAGCCAACTGTACTACACGACTTGAAGTGCGGAAATCGAGCACGCCCTCCTACTGTGCTCCATCGCCGTTCCGCTCGCCTGTTGCTCAATCATGCATCCGTTGGTGCGGAAACACTTCTTTTCCCTGTGCCATTTATTGGCCCCTTTGCGCCTAGCATGCATGACAGAGAATAGGTGTGCGACCCCTCATCGACGGTGCCTGCCTCGGAGCTTTTGCCGCTGCACACAACTGTGGCACAGGTCTGGGGAAAACTTTGCCTTCGACCTGGCGAGCAACCCCGCTGTTTCTTGCAGTGCTGCGCGATTGGTTGGGCATTGGGAAAATCGCACGCGCCCTCAGCGCGCATCTCTCTAATCTTTCCGTGCCTGAGATACTTGGTCGCGACTTATTCACGCGCACGGCCATGAGTTCCCAAGTGGTGGCTACAGGGTCATCTCTTCCGGCACCCTACAACCATTCTCTACTCTCATAGTGGCTACTGCTGCCTTTGAGTACGAAAGGCCACTCGAGATTTTGCTTGCCAGAAGCTTAAGTGCTGTCAATGAAGTGTCAATTGTGGGTAAAATGAACTCCATGGTGGTCGTCTGGCTTAAATGCTTGTGTGAGCCCAAGGCCACCCCAGTGACTTTGCAGCAGTTCAACTTCGTTGCGTGCTACCGGAAAGGGAGCTAAAATGTCATGGCTTTCGCCTATATCGCGTGCCCCTGTTTCGGCGTTTGACACTCGTGTGAGCTACTCCCGAAAGCAATCACACTGAGCAGCCACTGTGGGGCCTCTGGCTCCAATGAGTCGAAAGGCATGAACCCTGACGGTGAAGTGACTTTCGAGTTTATGGCCTCGGGTGAGCACGTCACTTGTGCCGATATTGCCTTATGCAGAGAAGAACAACCAAACGTACAGCAGTGCGATCCGTTTAGTTTGCTCCCAAAGAGCAGGCGCGTATTGACAGTCTGGTATTGCTGTCGGCGCCGTGTGCCGTTTACGCAGTCTGGTATTGCTGCCGCCACACCGGACTCCCACATGTTTGTCACCGGCGGTGTTTTCCTGCCCATCATCTCGCCTGAAGAAGCTCCCCAGGAGTCTTCGAAGGTGGTGGTACCCCACAGTCTCAGGAAAGCCATCCTGGGCTATTTCAATGACTCGCAGTTGGCCGAAAACGCCAGTGGCCGTAAGACTTTCTAAAAGTTGTACCACTCTGCTACCTAGCCAGGCATGAAGCATGACGCTTTTCACTCCGCGTGTGACAATGCGCAAAATCTCGGGCGGGCATACAAGCCCTTTGGGCTCATGCAAATCTTTGCCGCCCACAGCAGCGATTTCGAAGAAAGAGAGGCAGTCACACAACCGCAGGAAGACTGTAAGGCTGGCCTCAAGTCACGCCACCAGTACAACCTTCGCAAATGCACTTCAGGTACCTTTCTCCCACTAGCAAGGAGCTGGACTTTATTGTAGGCCACGTTAGTAAAGGGATAATAAGCGCTACGGTGTGCCAACACACGTCTGAAAGTGGTAGAAGGCCCACCTGGCCGAATATGCCCTCTGATGTGTCATCCAAGCCATACCCTGGCAAGTGCTCCCTTTGTTGGGTAGCACCGTTAGGGTGCTACCCAACAAAGGGGGCGCTCTTTTCGGCGAGCCGGCTATGCCGAGGAATTTCCTGTCCGCTTCTTCATCTCCCAGAGTCTGGCTCTACCGTGCCGCCAGCCTGTTCCTGACCGGTGGCCTGCCGTTCCATGGTATTCACCACCATGGCCTGGTTACCGCCTTCTGCCGGCTGACTCCACCATCCAGCCCAACCCACCAGGCACAATTGGCAGCTGCTTTCGGCACCTGATCAGCCCACTCAAGCTTTGGCCAAGGCCTGAGCGTGGTCACTTGAGCTTCCGTTCTTGGCTGCCAGCTGTTCCAGCCGGCCACTCCGGCCAGCCCTCGTCCCAACAACTTTTGGTGGCTGGCTGCTGCACTTGCAGCCACGCCTCGTACGTTCGCGGCTGCCACTCGTTGTGCAGTGCTGCCCCGTTCCTTTTGAGCTGCAGACCTGGCAGCGGGTTCTCCCTTGCGTGGCAACTTTTGGTGGAGCTGTGGTGTGACCTTGGTGGACCATGGACTGGTGTCAACGAAAGCAACAACTTCCCCTCTCCGTGTTGTGCGGCACCCTTTGGTCCTGGCATTCGTGGAGACGTCATTTTCTTGCTGGACATTGCCCCGTTGGCCAGCCCCCCTGCGGCTGAGCCAACTTTGCTATTAAGCCTTGGACAGCCTCTTTTACAGGCTGGCCTCAGTTTTAAGGAGGGGGAAATGTGGGAATCGAGAGCGCCCTCCCCTTTGGCGCCACAATCCCCCAGCTTGCTCGAGCGCCCTGAACATGGCCACCGTGGTTTCGCTGCCTAGCCCTTTTATCTGCTGCGAGCCGTGCGTTGGTTTTCCCTGTGTGGGACACGTGCCCGCACTTGCCCAGACAACGCGCTTCTCCCTTTCGTCAGGCTAGCACACGTCACGGTGCTCCGCCGGTCTTTATTGGTTACCCATGACAGTCCCTCCCTTAGGAACTTGCCTTCGCCTGGTGCTCGCCCGCTGCCAGGCAGATGCACACAGGCCGGCACGAGAGGTAGACGCGCTGCTTTAGCAGGCAGCTTTTCATATCCTCACTCGGCTGTGGCCCTTTGTGCGCTGGCCTAGTGCTTGTCGGCAAGCGTACACTCAGTCGGTCTTGTGGAGTTCCCTGCCGGCCCGCAAGGCCGTGATTGTTGCGCTGTGCTATATTTTGGGTAAATAAACCCGTGTTTGTTGATGACCTGCCCCGAGTGCCATCTGCACCGTGTTGGAGAGTCGACGAACCCAGTCGTAGCGTCTTTGTGCGCAACGGCAGTGGAGATTGTCGCAACCTTTCCCGATCCCTTCGTATGGTAAGCCTTTAGAAAACTTATCTCCACAAAGGATATTGTACACTGCCATCTTCAAGTCAAACATGCCTCAGTTACAGAGACGGAGTTGCATTCAGATAATAGTCTACAATTATTATTTTTGCCCCCCAAGTCCCTTCACAAGAAATTAAGTTTTGATGTCCAAACAACAATTCTCCAAAAAATAAAGGGGGGGGGGTTAGATAGCTATATGACTATATTTATTTAGGTATGCTAAAACATAGTGTCCAAATTACCAATCTGCAGAACTTGGCAAATTTTGCTAACCCCATTACTGCTGTGTTTAAATATGCTAGCCTCAACATAAGTGAAGCAACAGCTTGTGTATACTCCTTAAAATCTGATTTGTCAGACTTCATTTCTGTACACTATTTGCATAAGTTTAATATTAACGCCTGTGAGTACTCTACAGGCTTTGCTCTGAATGCAAAGTTATTGCTACAGTCCCATGGTACTCGCATTAAACATACACGAAAAGGTACATACAGAAGATCCTCTTTAAAATTCACATGAAAGTGCCTTGGAACAACTAAAAGAAGCATGCAAATCAAAGTGCTTGATACACCACTTCTTTATGCACACTGTTGTTAGATCCTGCTGAAGTATTGGAAATGGTTGGATGTTTGCTTATCACGATGAAATTCTGCATTTAGAATGGGTACTCACATGAAAGCCAGACACCAGAAGTGTCATGAGTAGAACATAAAAGTTGGTGTCAAAAAAGATACTTTTAACTTCATCTGTGTCCTTAGTTGTCAGGCCTGTTGTAAACACAACAAGGCATTGTTAAGAGTCCAAAGAAACTCCAGTGCACCAAAAATAAACATAAAGCACGGTATTACAGCCAACATCAACTGAAGATGACCTTGATTGCGTACAAGGACGTATATGCTGCTAAGTGGCAAAAATTAGAACTGCTGATAATGAATCACAGGTTGCATTCATTAATGATGCATCAAAGGGACACTAAAGGCACATGTTAAAGGAAGTGAATATGAATAGAGATAATCCTACTCATAGAAAAAATGTGTCTTGTATCAATTAGAATAAGAACTGTCTTCCTGATTAAATTAGGCTGAATTCTCCCCAACCAGCCACAAAAGAATAACATCTGTTAGGCACCCCATGCAGCAAAAACAAAAATAGGATGACCTTTCACTTGACCTTCCGTCAGTTTGGCTACATGTATGGATTCAAATTCTGCCTTTTTGTTATGTGAACTAGATATTACAGTTTCGAATTGGTGAAGTTTTCAAGCAACAAAATGATTCCGGAAATGGACACACTGAAATTGCACATGGTACTGTGTTATTCTGCCAACATATAAAAAAACATTAATTAATTTTTGGTAATGCTTGGCTTGTCTGTCAGCAGAATAAAGGATACTGAAAGCAAGACCTAATGGAAGGGCGTACTTATGAATAAAAAGTAACAAGTACCTAAATATACCTAAGAAGGTAATCCAAGAAAGAATGTAATGAGGCTGGCTAGCAGCATTGCTTTTGCTTTCAAGTACTGTTGCTGACTTTGGCACTAATACATTTTTAGAGATTGCCAAGGCATAAAAATACTGCTTACGACATATTCCTGCACTAAGAAGTAACGAATTCAGGTATCAATATTCTGGAAATTACCTTGAATATTACCTTTTTTCATTCCACCATAATAAACTTGGTCCCTCAAAATCTGTTGTCAGTTCTTCTAGGATAAGGTTTCTTAAGCTTTCTGGCCTTGGGAAACCCCAATAAATTTTCCAAGGCGCTGCGGGACCCCCATCTTTTTTTTTAGTGAGTAGACAATGATAAAAAAAGGAAAGGGGGGTTGATCTCACTTCTCAATGGTTGTAGCCACAGTATTACTACATTGGCCTCTTATCTTTGATAGTGAGGACCGTCACTGTTGATGTGGAACTCCCAATATAATACACAGACTTGTGATGCCTTCGCATCCCTGCCCCGCAAGCTGCGTAAAGCGCCCATCGACTATGAACTAGATGCTTCAAGCACCTCGCGTCGTAAGTACTATGTTCACACAAACAAAAAGCCGGATGTACAAAAGAATGTTTTTTTTCCTGTGAAAAATAAAATAAAATAAATAAATATAATAAGTAATAAAAAGAAGGAACGGCACAGTCTCACAACTAAATGGCTATTGACTCATACACTGGTCATAAGGCTAAGCCTAAATGTTCGTGTAGCCATCAGCCATCAAGAAGCGATGCCTCTTGTGTGTATCAAAGTGCCTGCTATTGTTCTAATTAAAGAATCTGACATAGTGCAGCAGCAAATCAGTGTGCACGAAAATTGTGCCACATGAGCTCTGGCGTGCTACGAGTCCTAAATGAAGTGCCGAGGGGCCTGTTAATAATGTTTCGACACCCAATATCCTCATCTGCAACTCAATATACAGAATTAACTAATTGATAATTGTATTACAAAAATGTGTACGTGTTACAGACTGTACCCACGAGCATTAATTACCCACGCTCCACATGCACTGTCAGCGTGGCTCCACATACCGTGCAACAAGTTACATGGCACACGCCAGACGAGTTTGTCTCCATTTGTTCTTCGAGAGGTGAGGATATGTGCTATCAAAAGTGCTATAAATTATTTAGAAACTGAAGGTTATGACCGGTAAGATTAAATTGCCCTAAGGGGTAGTAACGTGTGTCACATATGAGGCACGTGTATACTGTATCTCCTAGTATGTTAGTGATTCAAATATTGTCAGCATGGTGCAAATTAACGACGTCATCCAAAGTAATACTGCTGCCACATTCATCGAGTTGAAAGGAAAATAGCAGAAAAAGAGGACAACATCCGGTGCATTAACAATAGAAGTTACATCAACAAACCAAATGAAATAAATTCAATGGGTGCATTTCAGGTATTCGTAGTGGTTAATCTACACTAAGGTAGCCACACTAGTTTACACTTAAAATAAAGAAAGCTCATCATCTCTGACTTCTACATACATTTAACATCTATCACCCACCTGCAGTTAGTGCAGGGCTTATACTGCCAAGATAGGCAACAGTTAAATATTCACTTCCTCTGCAATCAGAAGTGCAATAAATCTGTGCATGTCACAACTAACAACCATATTAATGTGCATTCAGAATGAATTTAAAGTGACCATGAAAACACCTCGTATTATTGTTGTGCAATCTAATGAATAATAGTAGGCTTGTGCGAATAGTGAATTATAGGTTTGAAGCGAATTCGAAGCGAATTCGAAGTGAACAGTGATTTTGATCGAATAATTTCAAATCGAATTCAATTATTATATATGACATATAAATTATACATGATATATAAAGAAAAATGGGCATATTTATCACGACATAACTAACCAAAGAATATTTTAAAAAATTGAAACAGGGCCTCTATGCAAATGCCTTTTTTTTTTTGCTCAAAGCAAGTCAAAACAACTTCAAGTAGTAGCAGGATTACAGGATTTGACTTTCGGCAGGATGCGAGTCATAACCCGTAAAATATGTAACATTTTAAAACTTATTACACTTAAAGCATAAAAGACATAACAAGCTTTTAAGCTTAACAGAATGAATTGACTTTGGAGTAATACTTTAATTTAAAGAAGCCCTGCTATACTTTTTTTAAGCAGCCATGGAATAAATTCACTAAAGAAGCTTATTGCCTCATGAATTCATCGCCACAAAAATTTTTTGAATCAGTCTAGTACGAGCGGAGTTGCAAAGATTTGTTGCACGCTGCAAGTAAATTCTTCTCGTCCCAACAAAAACACTGGAAATTAAGCAAAGAGGAACGGCACGGGGAAAGAAAATACATCGCGGGTGCTTTTTGAGCTTGTGGAGTCATTTGCCGAGAGAATAAAACAATTTTTAGCTGACTTTGAGAATTTATTAAGAAGTGCAAGCCGCGTGCTGCACTATAATATTTGGCTCGCGTGTCCTCGGTAGCCTCAACTACCAATCGGCAGCGCTTCCTGACACTGTTCTAAAAGTGTTGCAGGGCCCCTTTAAATTTGAAGCAGGGCTTTGCGGCAGAGCGAATTTCTCCTGGTTAAGTGCTTTCACAATTCAATACTCCTACACTGCAGTGAAGCCACCTTTACAAGCAGCACATTCGTATTAATATGCATTTATTCGTTCCTAGCGAATACTTCGAAATTTTTAATAATTGATATTTGAATCAAAGCGAATTAGAATATTACCACAAGCATAATGAATAGTGTGCACATGAAGCAGTATGCTTTTTGGAGCCCTATTATAGACTATTATATTAAATATAGAGAGCTAACAGACAATACTGACAAGGAAACTGACAAGGAAAGTATAGATATGTTATTAGGAGTAAATGTAAATGCGAAGAAAGAAAAGCAGGGTTCGTATAGGTTTCCAAAACAAAAATTCAAGAATATTTAGGTACTTTCCAGGACCTAAGGAACGCAGGTGGACGGCCTCACTTTCAAAGCCACAAGCTCAAGTAAGGCGGAGGAGGTGGCCATTGCACTGGCAGTATCCCATCCAAACTCAAAACAAATAGTTACAGACTCTCGAAGAGCCTGCGAGAGCTATCTTGCAGGAGAAATCTCTCCATTGGCTAATAGACTTTTAAAATTCAGCATCAGGAACCGCGATCCTACCCCAAAACGTCTTATATGGACTCCGGGACATGAGGGTCTACAGGGTAACAAGGCTGCACATGCAGCGGCCCGTGTGCTTACTTCCCGGGAAACTCCCCGTTCCCCTGATAGACCTGAACGTCCCACACCTTTAACACGGTTTCGAGAAATCAAAGAATACTACATTGAGCAACGCCGCTTGTATCCCGCACCAGCGAAGGGACTCTCGAAAACGGAAAAGCGCATCTTGCGGCGCCTACAAACAAATACGCTGCTCTGTCCAGCCATACTCAAATATTACGACCCAAAAATAAGTGGGCAGTGCCAGTACTGTGGGGAAGTGGCCAACACTTACCATATGGTCTGGGCCTGCCAAATGAACCCAAAATTAACCCCCTTTCCCAACCCCACCAAAGAGGACTGGGAGACGACCCTACTCAATAGCTCCACACTAGAGGAACAGCGAACTCTAGTCCAGCGGGCTCGGGTGGTGTGATGTGTGGTGCGCGTTCAAAGTGTGCGCCTTCGAAAAGTGCGCGTCACGGAAAAAAAAAAAAACAAAAGGAGAAATACCAGAGTGCACGTGCGGGGCTGCTTAAACAAGAATGACGACGTTAAAGAGCGTCGAGCACGAGGATGCGTGGCAGGACGTGAAGTAAACAAAAGGTAAAACATCCAATGGGCAGCGAACACGGAGATTTCAAGGCCCAATGGCTTGACACCACGAGACAGCAGTATCTCCAATGAGAACGAGACAAGTGGGCCAGAGCTGAAGCAGGAGCCTGAGCAGACCAGAGCAAGGGGAATTCGAGGCAGGCAGTGCAAGCGGAAGGTCGTCACCGGACCGGGCGCTGAAGATGGGCCGTTGGGTTCCGGACCCGAGCCTACAGGACTTCCACCGGCCGGGGCCTCCTGCTGTCGGGTTCCCGCTCCAAAGGACCGTGGCCATCCGGTCCTGAACTCCTTTCCAGGGCCTGCGGACTTTGGTTCCGGCAGGCGAGCTACAGCCGTCGGGCTCCGGGCCCGAGCTGTGCGCCCAGCTGCTTGACTAGGTCGACCCTAGTTCCCGGACGCGTCGCCACCAGCCTGCGTTCTCCCGTCTCCGACGTGTCCACGCTCCTCAAGCCGAAACCATCACGATTTGGTAGGGCTT